ATTGACTTTATTCAATGTGTTATAGGAAACTGGGGAGCCACCATTAACTATTCTGTGTTATTCCAGGTTCAGGCTCAGGCTTCAGCATTGGTGTTCAGGGACCTCCAGGTCCACCTGGTCCACCTGGACCTGGTTCTGGTTCCGGTTCTGGATCCTTCACTGTCAATGGTCTCATCGCCATGCTTCAGAGTAAGTACAACACATTATCAACACACTGCAGGTCTGCTGAGTCTGTACTTTCCACTTGAAGTTGTTAAACCGTGTATCCCTGCTGTGATCTGTACAGGAGACGATGTGAGGAGATATATAACAGGACCACCTGGACCACAAGGACCACCTGGGATACCAGGAACATCTGGAGGAATTTCAGCCAGTTATAATGTAGAAGAGGTCGCCAGATATGTGTTCAATATAATGAATGGTAAGCGGAGGTTACATTGAGAGAAATCACTATCCCTTAAAGAGGTGTCTGTACTCCACTGATCACTGCTTTCATTCTCATCTTCAGACAGAGGGATCGCTCGAGGTCCGCCTGGGCCTCCTGGTCCACCTGGCCCTTCAGTGTCTGTTGGTTCAGGGGGAAGTGGCTCCAGGATCTTTACCATCGATTATTCTGACTTAGTTAAAAGTAAGTCGTACTTTTCACAGGAGGCTTAACTCTTTTCAGAGTCATTTGGTTGTTGTCACTCAATCATCCTCTTCCTCGTTCCTTCCTCTGTTAGACCCTGATTTCCAGTCATGGATAGCATCTGCCTCACATCGCGGTCTTCCTGGTCCTCCGGGTCCTCCGGGTTTTCCAGGACAGCAAGGCCCTCCTGGTCCTCAGGGGCCACAGGGACACTCCTCTGCCACCGTGTATGGAACAGGACAACAAAGTTACAGCTTGGAGGAGATTCAGCGTTATCTGCAAGGTGAGTCCGGTGGAGAGGAGGAACACGACGTGCCGTTTAAACAGTGGTAGGCTGATCTGGGACCATTTTGTGAAAAAGTGTGTTCATCAAAGAGAAAAACTTTAGCTAGCACTTGTTTTATGGCTTTGACTGGCACAGGTGTGAGGTTCCTTTTTAATTCAAATCAGTTCAAACACCCTGTATCAAAACATCCTTTCTGTAGAACGTAACACTATACAAACATAATCTCAATTTCAGTACTTTCTTTGGTGTGCTCTGATATCATCATTAATGGGTTTGCACAAGGTCTCTTCATCCCGCTGTGAACACAGAATAAAAGAGACTTGATTTTGAATCTTTCTCAGGTTCTGGGTTCAGAGGTCTTCCTGGCCCTCCTGGTCCTCAAGGTCCACGGGGACCACAGGGTGTTTCAGGCAGTTACTCTGGTGTGATTTCCACCAGTGGAAACTTCCCACAGGCGAGCATCCGTGCTGAAATTCAGGAGTATCTGACCAGTAAGCTGCTCACCACCCACACACAGATTAAAGAAATGAGATCAGTAGTAGTCAAACATAACATGACTTTTTACTGGAACTCTAACTGAAACCTAAGACAGCAGTCTCCATTTAAGAGCAGGCCTTAGTAGATTTCACAGATTCACTTTTAATTTTCAGGTGATAATGTTCGTCGTGCCATCATGGGACAACCAGGGCCTCCTGGACCAATGGGACCGAAAGGAGAACGTGGAGAGCCAGGTTACAGTCAGAGCTACACACAGAGCCAAAGCTACGCTCAGGGTGACTCTCGCTTCAACTCCAGACGTTCAGAGACTGATGTCAGCAGGCTTGCTGAGATGATGGACTACTCCAGTGTCGCCGTAAAAGTTTCAGATTACATCAAGAGTGAGTTTGTAACAGCCGTCTGTCTTACCTCTACTTGGCACATATGCTATTATTTCAGTTCCCATGAGTTCCTTGGTTGGTGGATACCCCATGGATACATTAAACCTATTTTTATCCGTTATTTGTTAACATTTCAGCAAAGGCTACACTGAGCAGCTTTAGAAGTATCCCTACTTATCTTTTAGCAGTTCTTGTCTGTAGTGTAGCCGTGGATAATGGATCTGCCCCTTTTTATCTAATGTCAGAATTTTAAAAAATCCTTACATTTGTTTTGCATTGCAATAAAAAGTCCAATGTGACATTTTGAAGATTTCAACAAAATCAACGTATTCCAGTGATAGGTGGCTGCACATCTGTGTATACAATGCAAAGAGTAAGCACCAATATGCAAATCCAACATCTTTAACAATGCCAGTTTGCCAAAATGTCAACAATGTTGTGCCCTGTTGCCACTTCGTTGAGTAAAAGAACTTCATCCTCCACCTCCGGCCAACATGACGAACGAAATGTAAATATGTTTATTTAGGCGGGTAGGTTTATAGAAAGGTTTATATTATGAATGTCTCTACAGTTCTTTGATTTAATTCCCCTCCTCTAGATGAAGGCCTGCTGCAGGAGTATCTGGTTAGTGGTCCTTGGAGGGCTAATGTGAGAGCAATTCAAGGTCCCGCTGGTCCACCTGGCCCTCCTGGAGCACCGGGTGTGAGCCGTGTTATCGGAGCCTACGGCAACGTCACAGCTGACCTCATGGACTTCTTCAGAAGTGAGAAAACAGTGTTTCCACAAACTGGGTTACAGTGATGGAAAAAACATGCCAGACTCTTGTTAGCCAACTTGGAAAATGTTGCTTCGTCGTGATAAAATCTGTGCTTTTGCCTTGTTGCAGGATATGGCACCATCCCAGGTCCCCAGGGAAGCTCTGGACCAAGGGGAGAAAGAGGATACCCAGGACCCAGAGGAGAAAAGGGTACATTGAAACTGAGTTTACAAAACACTGCTTATTTCGTATTTGTGACGGAGATCACAGTGGTCAGTCACTGAGTGTGGGGAGGTTATCATGTCAGTGCAGTGTCAGGTGTGTGTGTGACTGATTGGCCATGATTTGGTCCAGCTGTGTTGAGTTTATATATTCCCTCGAGTTGCAGCACTCTCTGCTGACTCATTGTCTCACCATCAGAGATAGTGAATGGTTCTCTCTGTGTTCCTTGTGTCTTTTAGAAGTGTGTGATTCTGCATAAGCACCACTTGACACTTGAGCTCTATAAGTGTAGTTTGTTGGTGCTGGGTATTTCTGACCAAAATGAATGTGCTGGCCACATGTATCTGAATCAGAAAACTACAAATCAGGGAGAAACTTTATCTTGTAGTCATTTTGTTTAAAATCCTCTGAAACTCACAAGACAGCGGCTTTAACTCAGCCGCAAGAAGTACACACACCCTCTCTGAATATACTGTGAGTTCCGACCAAACAATCTTATTGGACAAAATTCATTCCATGAGCGCGGATATAGAGTACAGCGTCATCGAGACTTTTCACAATATGTATCACTACGCCTCAGCCTGGTGCTTGGTGTTCTGTACACAGTCATTTTATAGGACAGCAGTCCGTCTCTGTCTTAATAAATTCACTTGTTGCATAATAAATTCAAACACACATATAAATGTACATAGTGCAAAGTAACTGGTTAGTGGTAGCCATGGAAACAAAGACCTGCTCTACTTCCTGGAGGGATGAGCGACATTTCCATTGCTGAAGAACTGTATGGCATGGAAATGACTTGAACATGTACAGTATTTGTCACATTCCATAAAGAAAAACTGATTTTGATTTCAAAGTGCATGTAAATATCATCCATCGTCGCCCATGTATTCCTCACATTGGACTCCTTGTCCGTCGCTGCATTCATATTTTCTTACGTTTCCCCATCATTATTCTTTTGCATGTTTAAAGGTGACCGTGGCCAGCCAGGTATTCCAGGACTACCGGGGCCGTTCAAAGTTGAAATTCCACACAGGATACAGAAGAGGGATGCAGGTAACCTCCGTTTAATGATACTTAAAAAAAAATAAAAAATAAAACATCCAGTGTTAAATGCATATATTTAATATTATACCTTTATTTCATCCTCTGCAGAAGAGAATATGGTCGGTCGGCACAAGAGGCATCACCGTCGAGCCACTGGCGTCTAGAGAACAAACTACTGGATAATATCACATTTCATTTTTACTCATCTTTTTTGTCGGTGTTATACCTTTGCTATGCAAGTAGTCAAATCGCTCCTTATTGTTGCCATTTTTGAAACATTTTTAGAAAATTTTAGAAAATAAAAATGCTATGAAATGCATCAGTCTCTTGAAAAAATGAACTCTTTCAGGCAGTAGAGGTTTGGATTCAGCTGCTGGTCAGTGTTTTTGTAACACAGACTTCATGTTGTTTTGAACATGTGGGTGTATAATGTTTACTTTGCTTAGTTAGGAGCTTGCATTCAAACCTTTTTTTTTCTTCCAGGGGCAACTTTGTTAAAGATAATATTTCTAAGCAATACAAAGCTGATACTTTATTTGCACTTTGCATCATTTCTTACTGCTTGTGTAACTTGACTGTCTGGTGTACTGTTTTTTGTATTCATTGAGGATTATACTGTATTAAGGACTATATAAGTGTTTCATGTTGTTACAACACAAATCTTCAGATTTGTCATAAAAAGATTTAAATATTCACATTATTCAATCAGACGTCCAGCATTAAGACCCCTGGCAGTTATCCATTACTCCCACATATATAACAAAATAAGTAACGTTATTAATCCATGAACTGAACGCAGCAGTCATAGTGAAGGTCATCTGTGCAGCAGGGTGAGGGCTAACAGTAAATGTCTATGAAAAGGTTTGTGGGTAGAATCTAGAATGAAGTTCATGTAGTTGAAAGACAGAGACTCGGACAATCGCTAACAAATGACTGATTGGATTGTATATTTTTGTATAAGAGCGCACTGAAATGGATATATTTTCTTTATGCCTTTAAATGTTGAGAAGATTAAATTATAAAAAATGTTCCCAGATTTTGTTTTTACATGATTCAACCGTTTGACATTTGATCAATATATTTGAAAGACACACAAATAAATCTATTTTTGGACTTGTGAGTCTTGATATTTGTGTGACTCAATTGATCTCTAGAATGAATTCACTCATGGTGTTTTCAATGTCAAATAAACAGTCATTATTTTATTTACAACAACAGAAGAATTGTCCATTTATAAAGACACTTTAAATACATTGGATCTGACATCAAAAAAATGCATATACTGAGAATATCCATGGTGGTAGAACTTAGACACATCCAAAGGCTGCAACTGAAAATAAAAAAACCATTGAAATCTAGAGGGCGTGTGGTGTCATTCACAAGACACAGTCTGCGATAACGGCAATACAAATCCAGCATTTATGTCAATGTTCATGTGAGCAAAGAATCGATAACATGCACTGATGATATGAAGTGGCAAAAACAAACCAGTCAGGTTTGTTTTCGTCTATTTTTGAGAACCGTCAATACGTTTTCTTCTGAAAAACAGCGACACGTCTCCTCGCGTGTTGAAATTAAAAAGGATACAGCATTTCACCTTTCATACAGCAATGGTGTCACGAAAAATAACAGCGATTGCAGCGTCGATTAATCTGCAATACGTTCGGGAAATAAGACGTGTTCATAAAATGCTAGAGGGTATATCTTAAAATGATTAAAAGGTAAAACAAATAAAACAATGTTGAAAACAACTCAGTCAGTTTGGAGTTTGAAGAGGCCTGTGTGAGACAAACTGGACTCACTGTAAAAAAAAAAAAAAAGAAACTTTGACAGTTAAGTACTGCATACTTTTCTTCTCTCATTTAGCTCATGTGGCAAAACAGTGCAAATCAACAGCTTTTACATTCCTTCAGCATTTCACAACAAAGCATCCGAGCATCCAAGCTAGCTCCAAGAAGGTGAGGTGATTTAATTTTGATCATTTGTATTAAAAAAAAAACAGTATTTCTTTCCTGTCAAAAAGTAACAGCTCTGCTCTGTCTTTTAAACACACAGGGGTGTTTGGTAGTATGGCTAATTTAACAAAAACGTTTAGTTAAATCATCGCTCAAGACTGAAAAATCCTCCTGGTTTCAGACTAAACGTGATATGTAGGTCCAAACTTGTAACTTTTATCAGCGCTGCATCGTTTACAACACAGTACATTCCTTTTAATTAATAATTAATTTTTATCATAACAAAGCTTTTTTTTTTTTTAGCACAGCATTAGACGACTTCACTTTTTCTTTTGAGAGCAGTGACTCATCAGCACTTCTCCCGTGAGGCAGTATCACCTTAAATGCAGCGAAAGACGATTTTTAATGACCAGCTTTTGTGAAATAATACTAATAATCGCTCAAATCATTTTGTTTTTGATAACTAGCTATTTAAGTGCACGACATTCAGGGGGGGCTTTGTATTTACTGCAAACCGAAGAAATCACAGGGGAGGGCCTAACTCCTGAAACATAAGGAACATATGAGGCACTGAGATCATTCATACTGTAGCCGGCTGTGCTAACACTTCTCCGTTAAGCATGATTGGCCTTCGATACCGACTGCAGACTTCTGAAAATTTGAACATGCTGGAAAAAGTGCATATTATCCACCCGACATTTCCCAACAAGCTGAGAAAAAAATTTGACGGAGTGTTGAACAGTGTGTAGGCACGTCATGCTCACTAACGGTGGAGTCAAAGCAGTGAAGGTATTTTCATGGAAATCAGTTAACGGTCGGAGGAATGACGCCGCTTCACCTGGAACAGTCTGTCTTAGTTTGATATGAGTCTGTTTTCTGACATGAGGCTATAAACCAGAGTTGTGCAGGTTTGGGATTGGGTAAAATTTGGACACTCGACTCTGGGTGGTGGGGTTAAGGCATTCGGACTCGCCGCTCATCTTGAAGAAGACCTCCTGCTCCTGAAGCTTCCGTGTGAACTCCTCCTCCAACGCCTGCAGGGGGCAGCAGACACAAAACATTGAAACTGTGCAGGCTCTTCATGCTGAACACAGGAAAGGGACGGTCTGTCAGAGAATACATGGATGTGTACCTTCTTTCTGGGTCTCAGCTTCTCTCTCCACTCCTTTATCTCCTGGCTGTGCTCCTCATCCAGCTCCTTCAGCTTCTGAGTCTCATGCTCGATGAGAAGGTGGCACTTCTCATTCTGTGAGGAAAGTTTGTTTATACAGTCAGAGCCTTCAGGACTAAATAATAACACAACCTGCTCTCTTATATAATCAACTTGCTTTATCTGTGCTGTATTTTGCTTTTATCCATTTCAATTCATCTAGACTTTTTTGTTCTTATCTTATTCCATTTCTTCCCCCTCACCTTCACACTTCACTGATTTAAGATAAATATTCAAAAACTCCTATCAGAAAATTACTTAAACCTTATCGATCCCCTTCAACAGCGGATTAATGCGTATGAGTCGAGGGAAAATAAGAGAAATGAGCTGATAAATAATAATAATAATAATAATAATAATAATAATATAAACTTACTGAGCTTGTCGTTTGTAAACAACTTAAGTAGAAGGTTATGTACGCATGTTGTGTCCTCACCTGTAGCTGCTGCAGCTCCCTGATGTTTGAGTCACACTGCAGCTGCAGATCCCTCATCTGGTTCTCGTGTTTCTGGTGTTGATGGAGCCTCTCATTCTTCTGCCTCTTCTCCTCCTGAACAGCAAACTGGACAAAGAAATACAAAGACTTTAACAAAAATTCAAACACATGATCAAAACACCAACGTTGCTGAAAAGTTGCTGAGGTCTGAGATCCAAACATGCTGGGACCATTAAGAGTTCTGTTTTTATTGGGCAGATGTGAAGTGTGTCCTCATGTCAGAGTGACATAATGCTGCTAAATAAAGACCTCAGAGTTCTTTTAGCCACTTCGTCTTAAAAGTGAAGAGCAGAAAACGGTCAGCCGCAGCAGCAGGACTCTGCAGGTTCTGTACCTGCTTGATCTTCTCTCTCTCCATCTCTGGGGTGACGGATGCTGTGGCCGTGATGCGAAGGCTCTTCTTGAACATGGCCATGCGGGTCTTGGCCTCGCTGCGTTGAATCTTGGGCAGACGGACTCTCTCCTGAGTCTGTTTGTTTTTCATTTCCTCGATCAGCCGCTGGTTGTAGCGCTGCATCTGCTCCATCTCCTTTAAAAAACAAACACACACAGTTTTTTTCAGTCCAGCAGCGTGATTCAGAGAAGACCCCACATTCCTCTGAGTCCATGTCTCTCCTCGGCTCTTACTTTCTCGTGTCTCTTGAGCAGCTGGTGTCTCTGCAGGAAGTACTGGTCTTTGAGCTGCTGCTTCAGCAGCTGGTGCTTCTCCTGCAGGTGGCGCTCCTCCAACTCCCACATGGCTGCCTCTCGAGCTAAAAAAAAAAAACACACGTGCACAATATTACACATACGTAAATAATCAAGTAACGTCACTTTCGTGTGAGTTGTCAAACATGTAGATGCATGTCAGGCTGTGATGAGTAGAGTGATGGAAACAAAGAAAGCAGGACAAGCCTTAACACGTCTCGTCAAACAGCACAACTGTATTCCCCTGTGTCAGCATGTCACACAGAAATATCTCTGTGTTAATACTGACATACGCTCTCTTTACCAGCCAAGTTTAACTTAAGTGGAGAAAAAGCATATTTAAAAAAAAAACCTTCAGTTCTCTAATTGGCTCTGAACTGATACAGGAAACATGATTTAAGTCAATGTTGTTGTTTTTGTGTCAAATTTTAAAGGTTACACATTCAATGCTTGGATTGATAAATTAAGTTTGCTGATGTTGTCTGGAAATAATGACCAGAAGTGTCACCCCATTTCTTACCAGCATGTGAACTGACAGAACAAATCAGCTGACCTGTTGTTTTTATTAAGATGTATTATTATTATTATTATTAGGGTTTTACCTTTATTTAGATTGGATATTACACAGATGAATATAGACACCAGTACAGAGAATGAATTTCACAGGATGCCTCTGAAGGTGGGGAGCAGTAATGAGAAGATGACCTCATCTGCCCTGTAGCTCTTCCTCCATCTCTCACCTCTCATCAGCTGCTGCTTATGGTTGAGGCAGTCTCTCTCTATAGTGGCGATCTCCAGTTTGTGCTGCTGGATGATTTTCTTCAGAGCTCCGTCCAGCTCCTGCTGCTGCTTCTGGAGGAACTCCTGCTCCTGAGGTGCCAGAGAGAGGAGGAGCAGTGAGCAGAGGAAGTCATGGGGGTTATGCAGACAAGAGGGACAGCTGAGAGGAGAGAGAGAGAGAGAGAGAGAGACAGCACAATAACAGCAACAAAAAAAAAGTATAAAATCTGCCTGAATTTATATATTATCTCATCAAGCACTTCAAGTTCAGTACAACACAGAGCCATTTAAGCTGTCACATCATCAACTGGAGTCAGAGGGAGAGACACTCAGAAGTCATGGATGGCAACGATCCACAATGGAGGTGGAGAGAGAGAGAGAGAGAGAGAGAGAGAGAGAGAGAGAGAGAGAGAGAGAAATGTAAACAATTCAGTAAAGATTCAGATTCACAACTTTACGTGAGACAACATTGACATCAATGTTCACATTGTCTTGAGCCTGCATGGCCTCCATGATGCATGACTCACTAAGCAATGAGACACAATCGTCTATTTATTTAAATCCGATCTTCATATCAAAACGATGTAAATGTCTATCTGTTCTAAATGTCTAATAGTTAGCAGGTGGCTAATTATTGGTTAGGCGCTGCAATTATTTTATCTTGATTTGGTGCAATTGATCATGTTGACTTTATAAGTAGAAAACCATTCTAACATTGTGATCAGGCTGATGAAGTCTCTGGTTAAAATGTGATATTGTTTGCAAGTTTTGCACCAAACACGTGAATTTGACATTCATGCTGTAAGGCAGTCGTTCTAAATTTGGAGTTCGGACTGACAGCGACAAACATGCATCCAGACAGGCAACAACAACACCTCTGGAGAAGACTCTACGTGTTTACTCACAGACTCAATAAATACAGTCCTGAACAAAGTGTGTAAAACGGTATATAAAAATACACACATAAGATGTGGAACGTTTGTGGATGGATGAAGGGAAATACTGTGCAGGAGAAGGAAAGGAGAACCACTGCACAAACACAGTGATGACAACACTCCAAAAAAAAAACAAGGCAGCCCATGCTTACATGTGTGTGAGAAACTGAACCTTCACAAGCTAGCCTGTCGCTTTATATTGCTTCACATCTAAGTATGGGCCAGAGACGGAGAGAAACAGGGCGGGGGAGGGAGGGGGGGACTTACATCCTGCATCTGAGCGTTGAAGAGGGCACATGAGGACAACTGAAAAGACTGTATCATAACCTGGGCCACTGCCTGCGGAGGAGAGCACACACTTGCCCTGATCAGGGACAGACATCACACACAAGGCTGAGGATCTCTTTTACACACACACACACACACTCACACACACACACACACACACACACACACACACAGATTCTCTCCAAGTTTTACAAGGGATGACCCTTTCTACTTTGGGAATAATCTGTGAGTTTAAGGCGGCACAGCACAGCTCTGGATATATGTTAGGAGGAGGTCAGTTAATTCGTTATTAAAATCATCTCATGCTTGAAAGCGGCTCATAACTTCAGCACTTCAGTTCAATCCTTCTTGCAGAAGAGAAGGTTTGTTACTTTTCATGCTACTGGCGCTACGAGTGTTAATAATATAAGTTACCTTTCAAAGACGGGAAGGACTCGTGTCCCAAGACTCATTTCAAATTCATAAAAGATGCACAAGAAAACAAAGTCTGGAAAAGGTTTCAGAACAGGTTCCATCTCTGGAAAAAAAAAAAGTTACCTTAAAGGTCACATATTATGCAAAATAAACACAACTATGTTTTTCGAAAACTAATATGTGTCCCTAGTCTGTCTACAAACCCCCCAATTATGAGGAAAGCCCATCCTCGCTGTCTTTTGCCTGCTCCACTTTTCAAAAATATGTGTGCTCAAACAGGCCGTTTGGAGATTTTCCCTTTGTGACATCACAAAGGGCAGTAACCCCTCCCCCAGGTTAGTGACACTCCCACAGCTAGGTGTTTGTTCTGCCCCCTGATTCTGCTTTCTCACCATAAACAACTGGACATGGTGCAAGTGCCCAAGCCACCCAAGTTCTTCCAGAAGGGCGTGGTCAGACACTGCTCACTTCATTTAAAGCTACAGACACAGAAACAGCCTGTTCTGAGCAGGGCTGAGATAGAGGGGTTTATAGACATGATCAAGTACAGGATCAGAGTGGATTTAGAACAACACACTTCACAGACATGTTTTGGGGAGCTCTGAGACTGAATTAAACTTTTTGAATAGTTAAAAAAAAAAAATATGTCACCTTTAATGAGAAAAAACTCACTGTAAGTATTAAAGTACCTTATAGTAGCGTCATAAATTACAGGTGACATTACTGTTATTTTGTATTTGTGAAATCAGGAGCAAAGGGCAAGAATTGCATGTAGTTCACGTAGTCTTCCATGAGGTCAGTGGGTGGAGCGTGGGATGGGGAAGTGTCATGAAACTGGGAAGTATGTTATAGTATCACTTTGAATGGCTTCCTCTTTAAAAACGACTTGTCAGTTTTTCAGGTGGTTTTTCTTTTCACACACTAAACTGCTATTCTGCACTTTTTGCAGCAATGTTGGAGATTAATTCTGAGAATATAGAAATTTGTAGGCGAAGAGTGTAAATGTTGATACATGTTGGTGTTATGATGTCTCTGCCAAGGGAGGGGGGCCTGCAAAAAGTTGGGGAACCACTGGATTATGTGAACTTTACGAATGCTTTTTACAAGATGCAAGTCACACTTATTTTCACACTCATAAGAGTTATGATGAGTATTCTCTCAATTAACTAATTTTACTATCATAGAAGATTTAGAAAAAAATGCCAAATACCAACATTCAATACAGTTGAGACGAGAATTAATGTAATTTAACTTTGAAATGTATGTGCTCTTTATTTAAGCTGCTGTGCCAACAACAAATAATTATGAATCTTTCTGAACATAATGTTGAAATACACAGCAAATTTGGAGAGATGACCAACTCATAAACATTTTGTGTGCATGTGAATACCCATAAAAAAAGTATGGGCTTACAGGGCGAGAGTGAAAAGAAAGGAGTGAGAAAGAGTAATGTTACTCTTTGACAGAGTGAGAGATGGCAGGTGACGTTTACCTCTAAAGTCTTAAGGAGCATTAGGTCCTCCTTTATGCGTTTCATGAGCTCTTTTCTCATGTGTCTGGGGGACTGTCCAACCTCCAGTTGGGCCTACAGTGTGCGTGCAGAAACTGGTTGATGCTTTCATATTCTGAAAATCTAACAAAGCTGGCCAACATCAGGAGAAGACATGCACAGCCCACTTTGAGAGGAGAGACCCAGTATCAAGCCAACAACTGATCTGAAGTCAGCATGCACAATGCCCATCACCATATATTCGCTTGAACTAATCAGGAAGGTTTTTGGATTAGTCATTTTTGAGAACACATCACAACTGTAACTGCACAGGTCAGAGTCAAGTCATGATTTTGTCAGAAGAAAGATGTTCATGTACACTTGTACATGGGAGAAGATGTTAGTCCCAGAATCAGCTCCGGCTGTGTTACTTTGCATTGAATTAAGTCCCACAGCCAACAAGATGATTATTATCCTATAGCTACGAATAAAAAGAGTAACTGAGTTGGAATGACCTGGCTACCGATGAATTCTTTTAACAACCAATGCAAAGACAAAATGTTGTCTTTTTTGTATATTCATGAAATGGTTCTGGTTCTAAAAAAAAATATCCGGACTTGTCCTGAGAATTAATCCAAATGATCCTGTACCTTGGAAATGTAACTGTACCTGAGAAAAGCTCAAGATGGCCCCTACTTTCCTTTAAGAGTGACCTAACCACGACAGGCTGCAGCACAGTTTTAGGTTTCAGACATAAAACTCATAACGTTAATGATGCTGTGACAATGCACACGTTTGCTGGTTTCAGAAAGTGCTCTGATCGTCATGACAATGACTTTCCAACAGTCTGCAGGACGATTAGACAGAAACACACTTGTTTCCTGTTCTATCTATTCTCGTTTGTGTATTTGTTTATGGGTTGACTCCTTAGCGACTGTGTACTGTTAATTGGAAAGCAGCCTGGGGCAGTGTTTCATGATATAGAAAAACTAGAGGCATTCAAGGCGTACGGCGAGTGAATCCTTAAAAAACCTTGAACAAACATGTTTAATGGGATTCTATGTCAGTTACTCTGTATTCAGGCATCATCAACATTTCCCCAAATTAGCCAGACACCACTCGGAAAATCTTCAAATGTCAGCCATCCCATGACCAAAGCCACCTCACAGACTCACACAAGAAACATGGTTAATTAAATACACAATGACAGAACATTATGAACAAGGAATATTACATTACAAATTAGAAATAGTATAAACATTGATATCACAACAAAGCTTGTATTTTCTTAACAAAGAAATCGCGAAAAAGTTGAAACACAAAATGCTTCTTAGCCAACCAGCACAATAAATAATGACTTCAAGTGGCCCAGAGGGCAAATTACAAGCAGCACAACCAGCAGCAGAACACATGAACGCTCAGTGGATGCCAACCGGCCCTACTGCCATAAAAAGTAGCATGAAGCGAAACAGAAAGACTGAAAGCACAACAAACTCTCGCAGGAATGCATTTAAAGCTGTTAAGCAGAGAAAGACCAAACATATTTATAAAAAAGGCCCAGCGCACCATCATGATAAGGTATTATACTTATCTCCTGAGACTGAACCTTTATTAAAGAGTTCTCTTAAAACAACAAATAGACTCTGTAGCAAAGTGTTGCTAAGGGGGCATCCAGAAGCCTCAGGGCAGATGAATAATGGATACAACAACATGGAGCTAGCAGCATCTATGAGAGATTGAACAGTGTGTATGTGGCTATCATGTGCACACATACAGCACCAAGCAGAGAACACCCCCTCCCACAGGATTATTATGAATACATGACAGCCAAGTATGCCACCAGTTAAGTTGTTGAACACGTGCACCATTAAACAGCTCATATCTATGACATGCAAGGAGGTACGACCCAAACTCAGAGCGAATCAGCCCACTATAAGCACTACCCTGCAGAAACAGTCATGCAAGCTTGTACCTCTTTCTTCCGGTTCTTCAGCATGTTTTGGAATTTGGAGAGCTCCTTGTCTTGATCCGCTTTAATGCGTTTGGCCTCGTCTCTGAGCCGGCTGGTGTGATCCTGCTCCAGCCGCTCGATGGTCTGCTTCTGCTTCTTCTCAAGGTTCTCCACCTCTTGGTCATATTGACGCTTCTTAGCCTGCACAGATAGAATGAACAGATAATGCCTTCAGCCTTACAAGAGTCGGACCAGTGTTTATGTGTGATTCGGTACATTTAGGTTAATCCAGATTAACGTGCAAAAAGTTGATTTTGTTCTTCATTGTTTAGGAGAGAGAAAAAAATAGGTTGTGTCATTATAAACTGAGTGTAGGACAGTTAGACACACTCATGATAATGTGATAGAGACACACAGGTGTCTCACTTCCTGCTTCATGTGAGCCTCTACGTCAGATTGAGATCAGTTTTGAGTTGAAATGTTTGGTTTCCTATGAATTGGCCCCCAAAAACAAAAAAACCAAAACATCACACCACTGCGGTTACTGACTCACAGTCGTTTCCTGTTCGAAGCGCCGGTAGAGCTGCTCTCTCTGCTGCTGCAGCTTGTTGCTCAGCTGCTGCTGGGCCCTCTGCTCCTCCTTCTGCAGGAGGCGCAGCTCTCTCAACTCCTGCCGCCTGAGGAAACCACACACCAACACACAGTCAGGGTGTCGCCACATTTGAACTATGCAATATAAGAGTAATTACAATATCTAATGAATGCATGTTAACTCTGTGCATAACTACCACAGGGACATGAACCCAAGAAGACAATAATGACTTATCCAAACATTCCGAGCAGGACGTCTTGTGTCTTTAAAAGGCAACATGGGAGATGACAGTAACATAAAGCAGCATGCATCACGTGAGATAACCCATCTGGCATTTGCAAAAAAGCTGTGGACCTTGTGAAGTGAATGAGAACTATTTGAGGCCGGCATGTTAAATAGGCCATGAGACATATTTAGGACAGACAGTATAATAAGCAGATTAGAGGCAGATGTACCTTAGGAACCTCATCTCTTCGCTCTTGGTGTCATTATCCGTCACTATCTTTGATGTCGTCACACTGACCTCCACACCATCCACCATGAACTTACGTGTCTTCTTCAGCGTCTTTTTCTGACGTTTTGACTCCTACGAGGGGAAACAGGAATAAATTTGGAGCATAAACTTCGGAAATAATGTTGATAAGTTGACAGTTGGAGGGGAGGCACATGTTATGTTACCTGCATAGACACGGAGCCTTCCTTGCTCTTGGACAGGAAGCTAGAGATGGACAGATTGAGGTCGAGGCTGCTGCTGTCAGCTGCGGAGCTGCTCCCAGAGTCCGAGTCCTTCTCTACATCCGACTTAATCACAGCTGGGCTTCCGGGCTCCATCTTGCACTCTGAGTCCGTTTCGCTCTCCTGGACAGAGACGGCATCTTGGGAAGTATTCTCATCGGCAGGAGTGGCTTTCTCCTCGCCTTCCTTCATGTTGACGTCTTTACATGGGACCACTTGTTCTGAATCCTCTGAGGTGTCTTTGGCAACGTCGCTGACTCCATTTGTCAATTCAGTTGGGGTCTGTTCCTCTGGTTTATTCTCCTCACAGGGGTGATTGTCTTGGTCAGGCTGCTTTTCACCCTCAGGAGCCTCATCCTCAGGTTTTTCCTCTGGCTGACTCTCCGTGGCCTCCTTCTCTAACAGAACTTCAGCAGGGGTGTCATCCACACTTGACTTTGTGTCTGTCTCTCCATTAATGTTTATGTCTATTACATTTGGTCCTATATTCTCTGTGTCTGTATTTACATCTGGGCCATTAGCTGTGTCTTCTATTCTGTCGTCTGACACTTTTTTCGGAGGGATCTCCTTCTCTGGTTCTCTGCTTTCTTTTTCTGGCGGTTCAACTTCTCCTGATATGGATTCTGGTTCCTCTTGTTTATCTTCAGCCTGCTCTTGAGATTCTTTGAAATCGTCTGTACCTTCTGCTTTTTCTTTCTCTTCTCTGTCTTCCCTCCCCTTCTCCTCTCCTTTTTCCTCTATTATTTGGGAAGGTTCATTTTCTGGTTTCTCTTCTGGTATCTCCTTCTGTTCTTCCTCTGTTTCTTGACCATCTGGGATAAGTTCCTGGGTTGTTTTGCCATTTTCCTCGGGCAGTGATGCCGCAGGCTCAGCAGGAATCTCTTCATTTTTACCGTCTTCTGGTTTAGGCTCGGTGGGAGCTTGTGAGATCAAGTCCATTATAGGCTCTGCTGGCCCAGATACCAGGTCTGATTTATCAGCATTAGACACCTCATTGAGTTTCTCCTCTTTAGGCTTATCCACCTCACTTGTTCCAAGTATTTCATCAGAGAGCTTATCATTGGTCTGGTCCTCAGCAGGCACTGTCTCTGTCTTTTCTTTAACAGATTCCAGCGTGGAGGGAGTCGGTGGGACTTTGTCATCCTCTGAGCTGGCCACGCTGGCATCTGAGGGCGCTCTCTTGTGCCCTGGAGCCGCCTGAGCCAAACAATACGACAACAATGAGTGAAAGAAAAAGGCACAGAATGTTGCCCATGCTCTTTAATATACATACTTCAACACAGCTACATACCAGAGGTGTTTCAGCCTCTTCCTCCTCCTCCTCCTCTTTGCTATCCTCGAGCTCCTCTGTGACTTCAGCTTTGGCCTCTGCGATGAGCTCTCTGAGAGGTTTGCAGTCTGTAACACTGGTGACAAAAGGATGCTGCATACACAGAAAGGGATACAGGACTTATACTTATACGGTTACTTTGAGATACCAGCAGGTCATACATGTGAGTAGGGCAGCTCACCTGCAAAAGCTGCACAGGGCTCCACCTATGGTCCACATTCTTATCAAGTGATTTCCGCAGAAAGTCGCTGAATTCCGGGGACCTTTCAAGAAAACACGTGAAACAAAACCAGTCAATACTCTGTTAATGCGCCTGTGTCTTTAATGGAAAACAATTAATACCATTCATTCCCTTGTGACCATTCAGTTAAGCATCAACAATTCATCAACCCGTCAAACATCAACAGTCAACATATCCTTATCAACAATCTGTAAACACTCCAGCACCACCCTTTCTTGTCACACCACCAGAGCAAACGTCTCACCAGCGGGAGGGATGCATGAGTGTGGGCGGCTCGGACTTGGCTATTTTCAGGAGCACCCTCATGGGGTTCATCTCGTGGTTGGGCGGCTCAACCTGTGCCAGCTCTATCAGGGTTACCCCGAGGGACCAGATGTCGGCCTTGTAGTCGTACGGACGATCCTTGGAGGTTTCGCACATCACCACCTCTGGGGCCATCCTGAAAAAATTAGAAGTCGGTGGGTTTGAAAATTAGCATTCAGCTCATTCATGTTGTTTGATCGTTCTGATTCCTTAATGTAAGTTCTATTTTCTGTTCATGAGAAAAGGGAAACATATTAGTATCTGTAATCTTTTAAGTCTGGGATTTGGAAGTTAGGAAGCTTTTCAGTCTTATACGTTAAGAGTGCAGTCGTTTTTTTTTTTTGTTATCCCACATTTCATGCCAGCTCTTGAGTTGCAGTATGGAAGAATCATCACCCTTAGTTGTGGGACACGCTAGGACAATTATCAAGATGGAACGGGGTGAATGCCCTCTTGTATGCAGGATGCGTGACTCACCAATACGGAGTGCCGATGAAAGAGTCCCTTCTCTGTAACGTCTTGGTATTTTTAGCAGACACCCCAAAGTCAGCTGAAAGAAGAAAGGAATGATGATTCTTTTCATTAGTGAATAAAGCTACACTGTTAAATGAGACCCTCTATGGAAGACAGTGATTCGACTTGGACAGAAGCTATATAATAGCATACATTACGTTACTACTACAGTTGCAAGATTCTCTAATGAGTTAACCTGCTTTAAATGTGAACCCATGAAGTCTTCAGGGAAAGTCTCCATCTTCCTTTTACAAATCTCTGTAGGGTCACTTTTATCGGTTCTGTTACCTGTGCAATCTGCTGCTCTTCTCGCATCCCTTATAGTATGTGCACATAAGAGGGAAAGAGAGATCTATCATTAAGTCCCTGGTGACAGCTTGATGATTGTATGCCAGGCTTTGTCATGACCCTCTGCCTACAGAATGTGAATCATCAGGGAGCCAGCAGCTATGGGTACTACCGCAGCAAAACAGTCACTTCTTCTTTGCTGGAATATTACGTAACCAATTCTACATATCAGCCACTCCAGTACACAAGTGGTGTTCAACAAATTCAGATTTACAGTTTACAGATTCTACAGTTTTTACATGATGCCAGATGAAAGAGTGAGTGCTATCACATGTAAAATCTGCTGTACTCCCTCAAGTCACATAGCGCAGTTGGCTGCCAAATCACTGATGGCTAAAGGATCCACAATTGACTGTGCTAATTAGCTTTTTAGGCCGATTAGTGTTGGCCCTGCAGGGAGGTATAGAGTGGCCACCAAGGACAACCATCTGAGAGAGACACAGCTATGAATCAGCTGTTGTTTTGTCAAGTCTTCCTGGCCAAAGAAGCTGAATAATCCTTCTCATTGAGTGAAATATTACAAAATGCAGCAGAAAATGATGACAGATTTTTTCTTCACCTAGTTTCACTTCTCCATCCAAGGAGAGGAGAATGTTTCCGGCCTTCAAGTCTCGGTGGATGACCTTGTTCTCGTGGAGGTAACACAAAGCCTCCAAGGTCTGCCTACAAACCACACGGATCTGGGGCTCTGTCAGGGGTCTCTCCAGTTCTGTGGATAACATACAGAGATAGAATTCATAAGAAATATTTTTTTTCTCCAGGTAACATGTTGTTGTTTTAGTTTTAGTGAAGCACTTTGATACACACAGACTGGTCCATGTGGATATAATAACACCAAATATGATGGCCTGTTGGTAACCATTAGCAACTAGAGAACCAAACTCCACCTTGAAACTAGCCAGCATGTATGACTGGGCAAACATGGGGGGAAAATGTTCTAGTTGAGTCAGACCACAGAGCCAAATTGATCAACATCCAACAGTAAAGGGAAGAGATTGGTGTTGTCTTTGTCAGTGTGATTCGCACATAAGAAAAAGTGTTGAGGTGTTTTTACATGCTTCAAAACAAGAGAGAGAAACAGCAAAAAGTGGACAAACCACTCCTTGAAAACTGAGCTTCAATAATTACACAGTTGGAGTGGCCTCTTTAACTGGCGAGAGGGAAAAAAATCCCACAGAGAGGCTTCTGGATGGAATAAAAAGAGCTGGCACCGGAGGATGGAGCAAAGAAAAAGCTTCAGGACTCTTTTTTTAGGTTTCCTTCAGTGAAAGAGGGACTTACCCAGCATGATGGCATCCACTGCACCGCCTGCACAAAACTCTATGAGGATCTGTAACAGTGACAAAAAAAAAGGTGAACTATAAGTTATGTGTGGCACTAGTTTAACTCCCTAACAGCTCCATACACTGCATACTATTTGCTTCATGGAGGAACTTGTGTTATTCATGGTAGGTGAACAAACCTGACCTTTTATAGGCGAGACAGCAGAACCTCTACGTTATTGATCACACCATGGAGACAGTCAAAGAAACCTATCGATCAGACATGAATCAGCTACACTAAGCTTCTTTTAAGGACACGTCTTTTCTTTTCAGGTCATATCTTTACATGTCAATTAATCAAAAGATTCCTCCTGCACCTGTAAAAGAGGTTGCAATTATTGGTCATGTTGGAGATTTTTTATTTATTTTTTAGACTTCTAGTGTGTCCACATGTGACACACATCCGGAATATTTCATCATATATTCTGGTGAAAAAACAACTTCCTCATTTGGGCGAGCATTACAGAATACTTGTAAGCCTTGAGCTAACACTTGTACTTCACAGAAAGTGTCACTTATTATCTTATTAACCTTAAGAGCTTAAATTTACTTTTACTTGTCAATCACAGTGTAAAAGTCAAAATACTGGTGCAATAAATTAAATCCACAGTACACGTTTAGATTTGTGTGCGATGACGCAATGCTTCTGACAGGCTAAAGTTTAACTTATAAAAGAGAACTATGGATTCAGGGATTCACAGAGCACATCATTGTGAAGCCCAAGCTGCAGTGCATTAAATAAACTTAGCACTATAACATAAATACAGTTACCGGTAATGAGATACAAAAACTGATCAGACCTCAGTCTCAATAGCTGATGTAATGCACCTGACCACCACTTCATCTATAATGGCTCTTCCAGTAAGCTGTTAGCTCACAGTATCACATGATAGACAAAAATCAATCAAAGCGACAACCGAGCACCACCCACTATTCAAACAAAGACGAGAAACCAAGCGGTAGTTCCTGTTCTTCATAATAATTAACAGTGCCGTGGGAATCTCGCCTCTTAGGAACATGCTCATGATTCTGACAGGTGTAAAGTACACACAATTAAAAGAGTAATCTCAGGTTAAAATGAGCATCCATCAATCTTTTTAGCATAACCCCTTCTTTGATTTATAAGAAAAAAGGAACATTATTGTTAAACATTAACTTAACAGCATACACATGCAAAGCAGAGGAAGTTGCATGTCCGTCATGCTGCTTTGATGTGGGGGGGGGGGGCGCAACCTGTATGCAGCTCTGAATTATTCACAAGCACTTTCTCTAGCCACCAATACCACTCCATTATCATCCCATAGATGATGTGGCCAGTCCACAAGGGACAGTCACATGACACCGCCTGCCTGGACTTAATAGCTGTGGGGGCCTCTTACAGCACACAGAACGAGACCTACTGACCACGTATGAAGAGTGCACTGTGACTCATTGCTCTGGAAAGAAGCAGGCACAAAGGTCTTTAAAGAATGGGCTAAGAGGATTTGAATATTCTGTCACTAATCAAAAACACTTGTGATGATTCTTTGGAGTGGAAGAGTAAGGTCAAAGTGGTCATCGTTTCTAGATGATGACCTGTGGCTGCTGAAAGGTAAGGCAATCCTGCAGCTGAGCATGTTTTGCAACAACAATGTTATGAAGCTTGGCCGTTGTGACTCCCACACTTGCTGCCCTAGTGTGTGATTTTACGCAGTGTCACCCCATCAAAGGAGGACTGATATGTAAACAAACAACGCAAGCTTCACATACACAAACAGCGCTGTTTGGTCCCGTGTGCTCCATAGTTTTCGCTAACTCTGTTTCACCTATGTTACTCCTCTGTTAGTACCCCCACTGAACAGCTTCCACCCAAGGTTCAACCGTCGTACCTTCCCCACAGGACAGCAAGGTGCTTTAGTCCCACCTTGAACAGGCTGTGTGAAAGGGGCTTCTGACAATGAGTTATACTCTTCTTATGTTATAACCAGGGAATAAATGCCCTGATTTTATCCTTTCATAATATGATATCAGAATCCTTTGAGACACAGAGAAACAAACAGTGGCTTGAAATGAATTTGTGTGTCTCTGTGCATGACTGGTTCACCGCCTCTGTGTCTCCTTGGCTTCAAATCAAAAGCAAACAAACCTAGCTGACTTACCCAAAGTTTGCCTTCAAAATAAAAGGCATCCAGCAGTTTGACGATGTGAGGGTGGTCGCAGGAGGCCAGAATGTCAATCTCCACCATGTAGTCCTCCAATTCATCCTCAGTCTTTGTGTCAATAACCTTGGCAGCAGCGAGGGTCCCATTCTGCTTGTTCTGAGCCTGAAATGCAACACTGACGTCAACACTGACCAAATTCTCACAATACACAAAATACAAATAAAGAAAGAGAACAATGAATCAACTGAGCATGCTGTTCAATACATTTTGGATATTGCTGCTGGCTGGACTACAGAACAATAAGCTTTCTGCGGAACAGCTCTTTGGGAAGATCATCCATCAACATTAACAATTTCAATTAAGACAAAAGACGTTTGAATCTAAAGCAGAAAGGCCCGGAGCACTTTATGGCTATTAAAGCAATCTTTATAAACATATTTCATGAAGACCTTTCTAATGATAACACTTTTTTCTATTGGAAAGGAAACTTACTAAGCCGCCCTACAGCAACCATATTAAGTCATAAATGTTTCCAATATTTCCCATCACCTTCATCTGATCTTGAAAAACTAGCTCACCACCTCCTCTTCCTTGTCTCCCCTATCCTCATTCTTTCATTTCACGTTGATACACTAAATACACTTGAATGTGATCCAGTGGATGTGATATAAAGGTTTTACCAAATTAAATGATGATTTAAAAGGTTTATGGTGAGTATAATGACTACTTCTCTCCGACATAGTGACCAGAGATTGTATATAAGAAGTGAACATAGCCACCCTGTCGTCAGAAAATAGCTTGTAGAATATGTTATAAAGCCTTGACTTTGGCATTTTTGCCCTAACTAAATTTTTTTAGACAGAAGTTAAAATATTTGGATGAGAGAGTCAATGTGTGTTTCTCCATCTCTATCCTGGCTGACAGGTCTATGAAGTCTCTACTTGTCAATCACAAGTAGCCACGCCCCTACGCTTTATGCTTAGGGGCGTTCCATGAATTTGGAACCAAGAGGCCAGATTCAATCTCTCATACACAATATACAATCTTTACACATGCCCCAAAACCTTCACTCCAGGTTTGGCTACTGTTCAGCCAAGACTAATAAAAAAAATGACCAAACATTAGGGCGAACCAAGTAGCCAAAAAGTTATTTAAAGGCCGTCTCTGGACTTCATGTTTATGGATACAGACACAATCTCAGGGAGTTAAGGAAAAAGAACAGGGAGGGAGTGTTAAGAGGACCAACCGCTGAAGAGTGTGTCACACCCTATATTTACACAGTGCCGACCTGACACACTGCCTCTGTCTTTCCCTTTGTACTGTCTGACGACTGTCTACAAATCACTGATAGATATACAGACTCAGTATCTGCTTCATGATGGAAAGAGAGAGCAGCAATTATTTGTCTTCTATTCAATATTCAAGTGGAGTCTGTGGCCTTCAGTCATTTCGTACATGACATTTTACAATTCTGGCTTGTTTTGAGGGATTAAATGAGAGCTGTGGATGTCATATTGACAAATCTTATGAGCCTACATACTGTAAGATTGATCTTTAGAGACGGGTGAATAATTTCTGAATGTCAGTAGATTGCAATACAGATAAATCTCACACGACTTTGTAGTGCTTTGGGCACACTGGTTTGTTAAGGACTGACTTTTTGTCTCTGAAATTAATTTAAATGACACATCTGCCAATCTAACTTAGTGAACTGACAGGGTGTGCGACTAGAATTATGTATGCAGTGATTGTTAGGTCCAAACAATGTGACACACCTCTTCACTAATAAAGAGCAACAAAACCGCCTGTTGATGTTTCTGTGAGTGCAGGACTCTTTAACAGCTGAATCACACTTCGATGGCAGTCTATTCTCACCCCACCCAAATGAGGCAGGCTTCATCAAGCGCCTGTGAAAAAGCTGATGTAATATCTACTGTGTTGACAGTAATGTGACCTGATGGAGGCAGGCTCATCTCCCCGCATATTAGGCTTAGTTTCAGTCTGAAAGGCCATAAAAGTCACCCGGCTTTCATCACGGTTAGTTATTCAGCTAACGAGACTTGGAAAGTGGCAAATTCAGATTTCTGCGCCATTAGCTGCATTATTATTTGATCACAGCAGTTCCAGGAAGAGAAAAAACGTAAGTCACACAGAGAGAAAGAGAGAAAAGCTGCTATAAAAAGTCATGAACTGGTGGAGAGATAGAGCTTATTGTTGAACTGCTTTCTGTTAAAGGACTTGACAACCCCACCTTTCCTTTTGCATATCAGTCTGTATTTCATTTGCATTACAAACCTTAATGGTTGAACTGGTTAAAATGAATGAAAAGAATATACCATTAACCGCCACTGAAAAAAACATGAATAGGTACATGACAGAGCTTATTTTTTTAAGTTCCTCACCTAATCACAACACACACAGACACACACACACACACACACACGCGCACTGGAGTAATGGTTCAGATAGCAGAGATTGCAGGTGGTGGGCATGAAACCATTGATTCTTTGCTATATAATGTAATCTAACACAGCAAACAACAGCTTTAGAAACAGGGTCACAAAAGGAGGAAACGCCCCCCCTCTCAGGCCATCACAATTTCCATATAACATCCAAACGCACGGTTTCAGGGTTATTTCAATACATTTGCATTAAACTATGTTGTCGTTGCAGTTTTGTGTCCAGTTTCATGCAAAACAAGAGAAGAAAACAAAACAAAAAGCAGTACCCTGAAGGAGCAAACTGTTAAACAGTGAGAAAAAAACATTTGCATGAATTTACATACAGATTGGGAGTGACTAATTTAACCTTAAGAGGCATCTGCTCATTTGATTTTTTTTATTTTTTTTTTACTGTGTTTCCTCTTGAGACCATCAACTTTGGCGTCTGAGAGGCCATGTTTACTCTGTGGAAGAGACCCTTCCCTCCAAGAGTTTGACAGTTCAATGACACAGCAAACTCACATGTATATCCTTACAATGTAACACCAGAACCGACTTCAACATATACCAGAGATCAAATATTATTATGGACATATTTCTGGTTTTCATGATTTCATGGCAGATTTTGTCATGTTTTCTTCATGTTTCCAATTAATTGATATGTAAAAATTGACCTGAGGGCCTCGTTGAGGGTTGTGGCCCCCGGGCCGCCAGTTGCCCACCCCTGCCCTAGACGCACTTAACAGGTGAGTGAAGCTGTTATTAAACACACAGCCTTAGGTCACGTTTCTTTACATATCCTCACACGATCAAGGCAGTTCAAGTATGTTATAGGAAACAGTGTTATTGGTTTACAGCATGCAATTAAGGGCCTCTGCTATCACTGCTGTCATTTCACATCCTATGTCCTACATGCAAGATGGCACAATGGAGGCGAGTGTCTTTTAAGATAATAGGTTAGAAAAAAAAACCCCTAAAGGAGGGTGTGAAAATACATTACCTTGAACACTTTCCCAAACGCCCCGTCTCCAAGTTCCCCAATGATGTCCCAGATTTCCTCTGGGTTCACGTCTCTGTGTACATGTTCATACTGCTTCTTCTTCTTGTCAGGGCCCAGTTTGAATATCTTCCGAAAATTGAAGAAAGACATCTTCTCGGACGGGAACAGAGCTGTGTTAATGCGGTCTCCTTGTTATATTATAACGGTGTCCCCCCCACCACCACACCACCACCAACCTCTCCCCTGACGCTGAGCTCAAATGGCTATCGAAATAACAGCATGTAGGCGTTAAATTGGGGCAGACAAGCTGCTGCTGTAGCCATTCAGCTATGATAATGTCAATTATAACTTCCCTCGACGGTAGTTTTTCATAGTCATGTCACAGCTAGCGGTGTTTCACAGGACGCGATGCAGCGAGGAGTTCGCCGTGTTGCCGGAGCTGCTGCCGTTTCCGTTTTTTTTAAATCTATTTAACAAAAAAAACAGACGCTGACAACAAATATCATCACACTGGATACGACATTTTCATCATTTAACGATAGCGGAGTTAAAATGGAGAGTCAAAAAGATCCCATGCTTCGGTTGGATGACCACACAAAACAAGAAGTTAGCGGACTGGCGTCAAGTTGTCTGACGTGGTGTTTTTGTTTCCGTTACAAACCTTCAAAATAAAAGCAGATACCAACGAGTGACGTTACGGTGTTTTTTTATTTATTTATTTATTTTTTAGTTAAAACAAGTAAATATGAACAGAAACAACATTATACTGCATGGAAAGGCTAATATATATATAAATGCATTTGGTTGTTATGTTATTTTTTGGTGAGAGCACTGAGAAAGAGAAAGCTGGCATTGAAATCTGAGTAAATGCTTTAGCCTATGTATTTTTACACAACTCAAAACGTTGTTAACATTTTCCATGGAAAGAAAAAATGTCTGCATTATATCTATATTGTAAAAAAAAAAAAAAAAAAAAAATTATAATACATCCCCTTCTGTGCGTTTGCAGTTTAAGACAAAATGTAGATATTTCCGGTATCAGTTGTTCCCGCGCTGGTTAACTTGACGCGGGTGGTTAGCTGTATCTGTTTCCTGAATCTCCTCGACAGGACGTGCTCAGCGGCTCAGCTCCTTGGCTCTTCTACGCATGCTTCTTCTGTTCCTGTCGTCATGATGAAGAAAAAAAACAGTAGAAGTACTTCTACAGTTTAACTCCCCTCAGGCCCTCAATATGTTACAGGGGGGGGTCACATGATGAGTGGCAATTGATCAGTTCAGCTAAATAAGTGTTATGAAAACATCCGCAGTCTGGGACTGTTGAGAAGTCGACTGTTTTACCAGAAAATGCCTTAGGTCAGTCAGGCTAAATTTAGGCTACCTATTTAATAATTCACAAAATAGTTTGTCTGTAAGTCGCCATATTGGCCTACATAAATACTCTGTTATATTAAAGGATATCTTGTAAAAATGTGCAAGTAGCCTTCATTTTACATCACAGGGCTGCAGCAACATTGTAGTCTATCAAGAGAAAAGGTAGAGTAGGTAATTGTGTAGAATTCCCCTTTCGGTGTTGTTCCCTGTTGAATTGTTTTACAGTTTAGTTGTAGCCTGTCAGTAAGATGCACTTTAGTATTGTGGCTGGTCCAGTAAAGACATTTAAACCATGGCTACTCTGTGACTACAGTATAGGTTATTCCATAAAAATACATAGGCTTAACCAGAAATAGGCTACTCTAAACTACAGCTATTGTGGCTCATAGTTATACAAGGAGCACTGTATAATCAGAGAGGCCTACATTTTTATGAATGCCTGTCAGAAATGTGGGTTATAGTCGTCTTAATGTGCAGCCTCTTTCAGTATTTGCTTCCCCCATAATAATAATAATAATAATAATAATAATAAATGCAAACATTATATTTAGCACTTGTCCTCATTAATTCATTACTATGCTGTGTAGCGCCCTCTTGTGGATAACCTTCTTCTTGTTGTTGTTCTCTCGCTTCATGCCTCCTCCACTAGGTGGGAGCAAAGTCATTTGTCATTTGCTGAGTTTAAGGTCAGTCGGAAATCCTAACTTCTAAAATAAGGGCCAGGTGGACAGTGCAAACATTTTACGCATTTTTTTCAGATAGGCCTACACAAATAGAGAATGTGAATTTGCTTCTTTACGCATTTATGCAGTTTTCTGGAAGTTAGACATAGGCCTACACAGCATGCATCCAGAGGGCTATTTCAACTTGATAAACATAAAGAACAAGGTCAGTGCTGACCATAAAACATCCTTGCTTCTTAAATGATAACGAATTTCTGCTATCGCGAACAGGCCTATTGACTTTTAAAGATACATTCCTCGAGGTTTTTGTTAGGTTAGACTTGGTTTTGCATTATTAATAACGGGAAATAGGAGTATAGGTCAGCCTATTTTCATTTTCCATCCACTCTTTTGTCAAGGCAATGTGCATTTAATTACAACGATTAGACGGGTTTCCCACCACAAACAATTTAATGAATTGAAGTTTGCTTCAATGTTGCACACAAGAAATAAGAAACGGTCTCACTTCCAGACTTCTGGGTGAGTCCACTCCAGTCTGCTGAAATGGGACCGCCCCTTAAATTTGCATCCCCCCTCCTGTCCATGCCGTACAGCGGAGAGTCCAGCCCCTGTTAAGGGAGGAGAAGACGGATAAAACGCCAATTTTACTGCGTTGTAATGTTTCACAAGGACTTCAGAAGCTCGGGACCGCCTGACAACATCATCTCATGGATGCACCCAAAGCCTGAGTGCTGCTGCGAGATTTTTCTTACACACTTTTCTTCCTCCTCTCAAGACAATTAATGCATGTTTTTTTTTTCCCCCCCACACATTGTTTTGGTTCCATGGGTAAACATCTTGTTTTGTAGCATTTCGAGTATTTTCTGTAAACAAAGATTCCTGCCTGGTCTTTGAAGATGAAGCTCCGCACGGTGCTTGACGTTAATGTTGTGGACGTGCAGAAGAGAAGAAATCCCTCCAAACATTATGTAAGTTATCTTCTCGGTGTTCTTGTGTTTTGTATCCATTACGTTGTTGACGGAGCTTTTAACGTCACTAACGTTGGCTCCATGTTTGTTATCATCTGAAATGTTCAGCCATGCAAGCAGCTCTTCAAGTCACTTCAAGTTTGCACACGGCACTTTGGTCCAAACTTTAATATCTCATAAACTTGTGTCCAAGAGTCCTACAACTTTGCTTTACAATGAATGTTCCTCTTGTTCCACCACGATGTTAACACTTTTGGATTTAAATGGTATGGATGGAGGTCATTTGAAGGGGGACCTGACTTAACCCCATCATTTTTTATCTAGAACCACTAACTGGTTACATTTTCAATACATTTAAAAAAAAAAAATTAAGACTCAAACAACATAGAAAGATTAATAACTGTAATCACACAGCCAACCTTGACGCATTCAAAACTATAAACTATATAATGCTTATAATATTTAATGATATCTTTGTTACATTTAGCCTAATGTTAAGAGAAATATCAGAAAAAGGTCCTTTTGGCAGAGGGAAACTGAGTTATTGTTTTTATAGCTACACAGCTGATCCCTGACTGAGAAAACAGACAAAAAAGTGAACAAACCTGGGCTGTACAGTAAAGCTTAAGAGTAGGGGCTACTACACAAGCGTGGAAATGTACTATAGTGATATTAGCAGGTACTTTAACAGGATGTCATTCAGTTGACCAGCTAACTTAGCCTGTTGGCTGACAGCAGCCTTACACATTCCCTCTGTGGCTGTTTGTTGCTTGTTCAACAAGTTGAGGTTTACAAGAAAAATGCCTTGAGCAGGAAGGCTGATTGAAGTTATTGTTCAAAGTTTGTTGCTCTTGGTGGTGTAGCATGTTGTTTGGCTGTTGGTCAGTGTGACATATGTTACAGCTTTAAATCACTGAAGAACAAGGCCTTATTTTACAAGTTGTATGTTAACACGTTTTCCATCAACGTAGGAAAGAGAGTGTGTCTTATTCCAACTGAAAGTTTCTTAGTTTGGCTGCATTAGTTCAAACAAAACCAAGAAATGTCAAATAAACTTTTCTCCCATTTGGGAATAACAGGGCAGTCTCATTTAATAACGATTTTAATAAAAATTAAAAAGTATATAGCCCTTCTCAAAATTGTCAATGACCCCAGAGAAACACATTTTTAAAGGAAAACAAACCACTCTTAAAGGAAACAATACTTTAAAAACTGCAGCATTAGAAGTTCAAAGCAGATTCTTTGTATGTGTGTTAAGTATTGTTTAATGACAAATCTTCTGCTGTTTCATTTAAGCCGTCTAATGTACTCACTGAGGTACAAAAGCTAACAGAGGCTCGAACCAGTAGAAGCACCGGCAGACATTAAAACTCCATAATTTATACAGTCAATAATCTTACCACTGATCTTGTTTGCTTTTGTAGTTTATAGAAGCACACATTTGAATTTCAGTCCGTTTCACTACCTGTTAAAAACTCTTCAAAGTATATGTTCAATCAATAGTTGGACACACAGCCTTGTTTAAAATGTGTGCGATGGACTTTCATTGTCAGAAAGCATTGCAGGTCAACCCAACTAGCTGGGAGCAGTTATGTAAATATATTATAGTCTCCCACACTCCAATTAGAAATAAAGAAGAAAAAATATAATCGGGTTGGGCGCCCACTGAGATGCTGCAGGGTGTGATAAGCAAATTGTCTAAAAAGCCCTTTTACCGCCTGAAAAGTTTTCCTCCAAATGGTTTCTATTCGGCGCTGCATTTCAGGTTGGTTTCATGTATTTTCTCCCATAAAACATGCAATGGACCTGGAGAGAATCTGTGCACCAGCAGCAGATCTTCAAGGGTCATATCTATATCCTGTTTTGGAGGGATGGTACCATCCCTGTACCATCCCTGTACACCCACATGAGAACCAGGTGCCAGGTTTGCTTTGGCCAGACACATCCCCATGTAAGCATCATCAATAGGAATAATAGTAATGGACTCGTTACAAGGCATCTTGTAAATGACCAAAGCTGTGTAGACAGACAGAAGGAAGCCTGCACCTCTACAGTAGAGGGGATATACAACACAATTAGCAGATGCTTTTATCCAAAGTGACGTACATCAGAGTGTAAGTATAACAGTAATCCATTCATACACTGCCACTGAAGCAGCAGGAGCAATGCAGGGTTAAGATAGATTGGACATGTTGCTCAGCTGGGGTTGGAACCCTCAACTTTCTGTTAGAGAGGCGATGACTCTACCAATTGAGCCACAGCTACCCTGAAAATTATCCTCTCTTCAACACGTCTTCAGTTTGTTCGGCTGCAGGGACCTGCATACCTCACTACTCTGAAGTGTCTGTAGTTTAACAGCGATTTAAAACTGTCCTTCGTTGTTGGCAGGATTCGAACCTGCGCGGGGAGACCCCAATGGATTTCTAGTCCATCGCCTTAACCACTCGGCCACAACAACCGTATATACCAGATGTGAGTCTGAGAGATAAAATACTTGCTGCCTTTCCATCTTTCTGGCTTTCCATTTGTGAAAAGATGGCCAGTAAACAGGTGCTTGCGTCCATCATTATCCTCAAGACCCTTCGAGATACTTGACCATGT